TCTTCTAGACACCCGATATCACTTTCATTATGAATTACTTACTCATTTATAACTGATATATTTCCTCATGGTGAAAAGTTCATTAGCTGCTACTAATGTTTCTCCAATATGTTGTTTTTGGATCTTCCAAACCAGTATTTTTTACATTATCATTAGATTGAAGTGCTATGTGCTCTAGAAAAATCTAACTGGTGGACAAAGTCTAAAGTCAAAAGTAAATTATTTGAAAAAAACGTTACCTTTTCACTTTCTGTATCTAAAGCTGATGTAGCTTCATCTAGTAATAATATTTTAGGATTGCGAACTAGAGCTCTAGCGATGGCTACTCGTTGTTTCTGTCCTCCTGATAACTGACCTCCTTTTTCTCCAACTCGTGTATCATAACCCTGAAATAATAAACATCACCATCAATAAACAATCATAACCCTGAAATAATAAACATCACCATCAGTAAACAATCATAACCCTGAAATAATAAACATCACCATCAGTAAACAATCATAACCCTGAAATATCAAACATCACCATCAGTAAACAATCATAACCCTGAAATAATAAACATCACCATCAGTATACAATCATAACCCTGAAATATTAAACATCACCATCAGTAAACAATCATAACTCTGAAATATTAAACATCAACATCAGTAAACAATCATAACCCTGAAATAATAAACATCACCATCAGTATACAATCATAACCCTGAAATATTAAACATCACCATCAGTAAACAATCATAACTCTGAAATATTAAACATCAACATCAGTAAACAATCATAACCCTGAAATATTAAACATCACCATCAGTATACAATCATAACCCTGAAATAATAAACATCACCATCAGTATACAATCATAACCCCGAAATATTAAACATCACCATCAGTAAACAATTATAACCCTGAAATAATAAACATCACCATCAGTAAACAATCATAACCCTGAAATAATAAACATCACCATCAGTAAACAATCATAACCCTGAAATATTAAACATCAACATCAATAAACAATCATAAACCTGAACTAACAATGTTTAACTTTTCTACATGTTAGTGATTCTGATGTTGCCATTCTTTTCAAATATCAGAAAATCTTAAATTTTTCTTAACATGTTTCAGGTTCTGTTTTAATATTTAACACTGACCTCTGGTAGCTCAGATATAAACTGATGAAT